ATCGCCCAGCAGCCTCAGGGCAGCCCCAAGGGTCACATCCACTCTATGCACACACAAACTGTCCCCCCAGACACAGAGTACATCAGTGCTGAGGAGCTGGTGAAGGTGGACAAGATGCTGAGCCACCTGAGTGAGGAGTCCAAGCAGGCAGCTGCCACCACACTGGTGAGTCCCCCCCAGCCCAGTCCCTATCCTTGGCAGCAGCCCTGGCTCTGGCACAGCTGCCCCAGGACATAGGGCTTTTGCTAACCATCTGGTGACCTCCACAGCCCACCAGCGAGGAAGACCTGTGCCCCATCTGCTACGCACACCCTATCTCAGCCATCTTCAGGCCCTGCTCCCACAAGTCATGCAAGTGAGTAGCTCCCGTGTCTGACCCCCACCAGGGTGACTTCCAGCTCGCCCGGTGCCATGCAGGGTGGGGCTCATGTTCTTTCCTCCTCTTGTCCCAGAGCCTGCATCAACCAGCACCTGATGAACAACAAGGACTGCTTCTTCTGCAAGGCCACCATCACAGGGGTGGATGACTTCACCAAGCCAACCAGCTCATAGACCCTAGCCCCACAGCACAGGCTTCCTCAGCCAAGCTGGGCAGCCCCCAGCCCCATGAGGGTTTCTCTCCAAATGCTCGCCCTGCTCAGGGCTGTGGTACCCTCACCCACTGGGCCAGGACCCAGCATGGGGCTGCAGGGCAGGATAGGTCAGTGTCCCCTTGCCCAGCACCTGGCAGCCTCTCTATTCTGTGGGTCATTCTCAGGGAGGGGAGCCCAAGGCCTCAGCTCTGTGGGAACATGTGGCAGTCCTGGGGCTGGATTGGGTGTTCAGGCTGTTAACTTGCCCCTGGCTGGGGGCTGACTCCATGAAATGCAGCATTAAATTATTCTTCCTTATGTGGTGCCCTGAGACATGAGGAGGGGAAGCCTGGTGAGCAACCCAGTGTTTGGGCCATGCTCAGGTGATGCTCAACAGTAAATGGAAATATAAATATTTAATCCAAGGAGAGCTGGGAGCCCACGGCCCACCAGGGGCTGCTACATGATGATGCGCGGCTCCGGCACAGACTCGGCAATGGACTTGTGCGGCAGCACATTGGCCCCGTTGAGGTAGAGCTCATCATTGACGATGACATCCTCGCCCAGCACGGTCACATTCTCCATGCGCACCTGCTCCAGAGAGGCCCTGTCACACCTGCCCTGGCTCAGGACTCAGTGCCATACTCCTGCACACAGGAGGCCATGGCCTGAGCAGCCACAGCCTGAGAAGAGAGAAGGGCAAGAGCACCCATGTCCTCACCCACTGCCCCACAGAGCAGCTCCAGCCCACGATGCAGGACTCCAGCCAGGAGTGGGAGCGGATGCAGGCTCCCTCCAGCACAGTGCAGCGTTTGATGCGCACCCCGTCCTCCACCACCACACCGGCCCCAATCGTCACGTTGGGGCCGATGACGCAGTTTGCCCCAATCTTGGCACTGGGGTCCTGGAAGGAAGACAGGCTGTGCCAGGGCCAGGAGGGCAGACAGAGCTCTCAAGCACAGCCTGTGCCACTCAGCCAGCATGAGGACAGGAAGGCACAGCTTGAGGACAGCAGTGGGGCAATGCAGAGAGCCTGTGACATGTGCCTGGGACCAGTGTGCTGGGGGCTGGCACTTACCACCAGTACATTCCCTACAACACCAGGCCCTGAGTGCAGCTTCTCGGGGTGCTGAGCCCTCAATGACTGCAGGTACATGCACATGCCCGTAAGAAAGTCCTTTGGCTGCCCAATGTCCATCCAGAAGCCTGTGGGGACAGAGCCATGGTGACAGCACCCAGCGAAGTGGGTGGCAGTGCAGGCAAGACCCCTGCCATGCTTCCCACACAGTGCACAGGGCCTTACCCTGCAGCTCCATGGCGTAGAGCTGCCCCTCCTGCGCCATGGCCGGGAAGATCTCCTTCTCAATGGAGGTTGGGCGCAGCTGTGAGGATAGGGCATAGGGCTGAGCGGCGGGCCCTGTCCCCCCAGCCTGACCCAGCCTGGTGTCTTGGCTCATACCTGGATGCGTTGCAGGATGCCAGGGTTAAAGATGTAGAGCCCAGCATTGATCTTGTTGGACACGAACACGCGTGGCTTCTCCACAAAGCGGCAGATGCGGCCAGTGTCAGCCTCACACACCACTACACCGTACTTGGCTGGCTCCTCCACGCGGGTCAC